TTTTCAAGTCTATTGAGTTAGTAGTAACGATATAGATAAGTTTGATGCTTCTATGCTTTGTTTTAATTTACATATCATAAAGTGTTAGTCAACAATAATTTGGCCTAAAAACTTTGATTTGCAGTTAACTTGGGAGGTTTTTACCCTTTATATTACTAATTAGTTAATCCTATTCACGATACAAAAAAACCCCGCAAAAAAAATGGTGAATTATTGTTCTAGAGATTGACATTGAGAGCAAAGCATTTGATAAAGTTTAAAAGTAACCTACTTTAAAAGTACAATTTATCTTTCAGAAGTTTGAAATTTTATTAAAAAAAATTAATTTGAAATTTTGTTAAAAAATTAAAAAATGATTTTTTAAAATGAATTTTAAATAAGTTTTAAAAAAAGATTTTCTATATAGTTTTTTTTTGAAACTTATTTAAAATTCATTTAAAAAGTTAATTTTAAGTGTTCTTCTCTAATAAAATTTTTAGTTTATAAAAAAATAATGCTTTTAAAATAAGTACTTTTAAATTTTACTAAACACTCTCAACTTAATCTCAACAAAATTAGATATCACCTTGCAAGTTCTAAAATAGACAAAATCAGCATTTTTTAGTTAAAATTACACAAAACTACTAAACACTAACTATTAATCAGCGAAACTCCCTAATTGCATGGGCAAACCACTTAAGGATACTGTTATTCAATCCTAATTGCAAAAACCGAACGGTAAACACAATAACACACAATGCAGACCATCTGCAATACACTTTGCCTAGGACTACACTTATTCAAGCTGAACAAAAGGCCTCGCGCAACATGCGGGCCGAAGAAGTCCATACATGGAATAAAAGTCTTGGGACTGCCTACCTAGTCCATTGCCAACGGACTCAGGTCCAAGGACGCCAAGCTAGGGAGCTCGGGATCACGTTCCAGGATGGCCATGACTTGCTCATCCAAGGTTAGCCATGCTTCTACACCGTCGCCGGACCTTGTTTCGTTCACAATGCAAAAATTCCGGACTTCATCAGAACCTTTCATCCCAACATTGCTCACCCACACTGGTTTTCCCCAACCAAAATCAGTTCCATACAAATCCTTACACCAATTCACAAAATAAAAGCAATCATTTCCATCCCTGGAATTCAGCTCCGTAATTCCCCTGAAATACTCAGAATTAAAAGAATTCCCTTCTTCACCTCTGATTTTCTTCAGAAAATCGCCATCAATTTTCGATGCAGCTTCCCTTAATTTTCCCACCAAATCATGCAAATCCGAGCAATCTTCGGAACAGTCCGCCGCTGCAATCCAGAAGAGATTTCCAACGGAATTCTCCATCTGGGCTGCTGGTAGCGGTATTCTTCCACGGAGATCCACTACGTGCACACATAAAGCCGGCCTTTGGATTCCGTGTCTTGCCTTGGAAGCAGCCATGCTGCACTTCCACAAGAAGGCGGAAACAGCCTCTACAGGGGTAGGGACTTCTATTTTCTCACCGGTGGCTTGGGACTTGAGGGTTGCAACCGCTGTGGCGTTGAACAAGAATCGCCTCGTGATACACTTCCCTTTCTTGGCAAAAGAACCCCACATTCGCCTCAAGTCTTGAAGCCATGAATCCCTCGCTGGGATGAAGAAATCAGGGGCATAAGCAATGAAATTAGGGCGCGGCGCTTCTGCAAAACCGCAAGCAGCGGCGGTCCAGGCCTTGAGGAATGTCGTGTTTGACACAATGTCTATGAACTTGTGCGAAAGACACATGGCAATAGCTATACCGCCACATTCAAAGACGGTGACTTGAATATTACACACATGAATTCCTTCAACGGGATATTCCGCACTTACAACGCCGTCCCAGGGGAGGAAACGACGAAGGAAGATGAGGTCAGGTTTGGTAAGAAAATCTTGGAGACGACAATTGATTCGAGCTTGAACGAAATAAGCCCCTTCGTCGTTGCATTCTATGGACAGGTGATCTTTGATCTTTCCAGCTAGCGGATAGAAGTGACTTAAGGTTTTTGACAAAGATTTTTGCAGCACCTCTACCTTGTTGTGGGTATCGAGAACATTGGTAGGAGGGTAGAAGTAGATGCGGGAAGCATAAGGGAAAATAATAAGCTGGTCAAAGAGGGAAATCTTGAAGAATCTAAGGTGTTCGGGTGTTGGAGAAGCTGGTTTTACGTTTTCTTTGGAGATGATTTGCACTTCCATTTTCGTTCAACTTGCGTTTGCCCTTAGTTGATTGTAAAATGCAAATGCACCAACTTCTACCTCTTCCCTCTGTCTCTGTGCCTGTGGCTTCTTCTTGGTTCAGAGAGGCCGAATTAGGACAGATAAAGACCCAACATGGGTACAATTTTCTTTGCAAATCCTCAACTTCTGACTTGAGACATTTTTTTCCCTAACCTTCATTTTGTTCCACTCTGCTCATTATACCCAAGCTTTTAGGACAATTACCCAGTATGATGTTAACCATGTATAGAGAGAAACTAAAATATATGAAGTTGCACTCAAGTTATTAGCTTAAACAGTGTGTAGGGTGCAGACTGCTTGAGCTAATAAGTATGATATTTTAAGTCTAGTTAAGGGTCCACAAAGTGCCACGTTAGCATTTCCTTCTGATTTAACAGACCAACAAGAACAATGGGATCATTGTTATAAAACTTGGTCCAACATAGTTATAATACTTGGTCTGTTGTGGAATGAAATGAAAGTTAGGACGAAAGTGTACAGTGTTAGAAAAATTGAGAATTGATGAGGATTTTAACCTATACTAAACCTAACCCATTGGCTCATGAACAAAATAATAAACCAAAACCATGGCTTTTTGTGGCTTTCCATAGAATACCACGTGACCATTCAATTATTGGGGATGTGACGCAAGTAAATTAGCTACCACCTAGCCCGGATCCTACAATGCCACCTACACGCGTTGGGTTAGGTCTGCTGTTGAAAAAAAAAATTGAAACCGAACTAAAGTTATAAGGTTAAAATCTTATTTGGGTTGCTGAACTATTGTATGAATTTTTGATTTGATCTTTAAATTAAAAAAAATTTCTAATTTAGTCCATACCATTTATCAATTTTACCCCAACTTGTTCTTCCATTAAAAACCCACCATTGCCTCACAAGAATTTAATAACATGTAAAAAATTTGAGACACGTCAGTTGTATAAATGAATAAATGATGATATGGTAACATGACATGTCATTTTCTTGCTCCAACACAAAAAAGTGAGACCCATCAAAATTACAATTTTGCCATCATTTTCTTCTTCCAGCAAACAAACCTAACACCTGATTGAACCCACCAGGCACCCTTTCTTTTTCCTTCCTCTTTCTTACCTTGCCTTTTTCATCAATCAATTCGTCATCTTCATCAATTGATTCTTCATTATTATCAAACAACCAAACCCACAAAAAAAAAAAAAATCTTTTTTAAAAAAAATTTTTTGCCCTTGCGTTTGATGAACCCATGCCTGGGTTCCTTCGAAGAACCCAAGTGTGTTGGATTCTTTGAACCCATGCTTGGGTTCAAGGGAACCCAATGCTTAAATTCTTCGAATCCACGCCTTTTCGAACCCAAGTGTGTTGGATTCTTCAAACCTACACTTGGGTTCCAAAGAACCCAGTGACGGTTGTTGGTGTTTGCCCTCTACTCTTCTAGGATTCTAATGGGAAGAAGGAGAGAGGATAATGATTTGGGCAGAGGTGGGCCCCACATTTTTTTTTTTTTGCTTGTTGGGAATCTGATGTGTTTTGATGACATGTTATCTTTTTTTCATGTGTACAGCTAATGTATCATAATGTTTTGACATGTCATCATTCTCTTGTTAGTTAACAGGACGCATCATTAGATTTTTAACGAAAGTACCAAGTTGGGGTAAATTTGGTAAATAATATAGACTAAATCAGGGATTTTTTTAGTTCAAGGACCAAATTAAGAGTCTGTACAATAATTTAAGAACCCAAATGGGGTTTTACCCAAATTATAATAGGTAAGTTGGGTTTAAATAAGATTTTTTTTATTAAAAATTAAATCAAATTAATTTTAAACAGTATAAATTTCAATTTCTAGGTGAGGATATCATTCGATAACGAAAGGAATAATAATACAGAGATTAGCCTTGCAGAAATTTATAAAACAATATATAAGTTTAATCCCAGACAAACATGTTATGGGAATACAAATTAGCATATCTCGACAATTATTCTAATAAAATATTAAGAAAAATAATAAAATTGTTTTAATATTCTTATTGAACTAATATATATAAAAACTTATTACGGTTGTGTTTGGAAATACATATTTATATTTGAGATATGAATTTTAAATATAAGAATTTTAAATATGTGTATTTTAAAAGAGAAAAGTGTTTTGCAGTGGTTTTCTTAATTTTTTTAAGACATATTTAAAATTTTATATTTTAATTAATATCTTAAAAAATTAATTTTTAGATTAAAAGTTTTATTTATATAAATCATACATATCAATTTTTAAATTATTTTAATAAACTTAATTATTTCGTTGATTATACAAAATTTAACACCATTAAATATATATCAATAAATATAGTTTATCTGATTAAATGGTTATAAATATTAGATTAATAAAAAAAATTAATATATATAATTTATATGAATAAAACTTTCAATTCAATGCTTAATTTTTAAATATATTAATAATAAGGTGGATTTTGAGACAGATCCCCTAAAAACATTTTAAAAGACAATCTACCTTACATTATTTTTATTTTAAAATATATTGTTTAGATTAAATAAAGAAATATAACTTTAAAGTACATGTAATTTTATATACATTATTTGGATACACTAAAACATTATGTCTTTGAAATTGAATTTTCTGCTAAATTAAATTCTCTTCAACTCATTATTTAAATTGAATTCCTATTTCATTAAAGGTTAGTTTGACTTATGCCTATTAAAGGTGTAATAAATAAATGCACATTTTTATAATTAATTCACATGAATTCCTATTTCATTAAAGGTTAGTTTGACTTATGCCTATTAAAGGTGTAATAAATAAATGCACATTTTTATAATTAATTCACATAAAAATAAAAATAAAAAATGTTGACATTTATTTTAATGCCATTGTCATGTAAATAGTTTTAATTAATTAATTGAATAAATTAAAGGATTTTTTAAGGCTTATTTTGGTCATAAATTTCTATATAAAATGTAAAAATTGATATTAATTTCAGAGTCATTGTCATGTAGATAAATTTAATTAAACAATTGATAAATTAAATATTAATATTTATTCTTTTAATACTCTTAGGATATAGGTTAAAAAAATCCTAAATTAAAATCAACATTTATATTTTTATACAAATTAATTACGAAAAAATTATAATAAATGCGACTTATTACCTCCTGCCTTAAGCTACAAGTTAGAAAACTGTTTCATTAATAAGAGAACAATTTATTTTTCATTTTTAAACATTTGAACCATTGTTTACACTATCTCAAAATTAAAAACTAAATATGTTTTTGCAAAAAAAAAAAAAATGTTTGAGAATAGGTCATACAAGAAGTAATAGCCATTTCTCTTTTTTTAAATCCCTTCCATTTATCTCAAGATTTGAATATAAAGTTTTTAACTTAAAATTTTATATTTTTAACCAGTTGAACTATCTTTTAGATAATAAATATAGAAATGTCTTAAAAAATAATAATAAATTAATATGAGAAAGTTTGGAATCTATTACATATTCCCAATTTATTGTAGGAAATGCCAATATTATATCTCCAGTAAAACCCTTTAGCATTCAAAGTGGCATTCTAATTTAGGAATGGAAGGAAAAAAAAAAAGAAGCGGTTGGATGAGAAAACAAGCACATCTTTCAACAATAAAATGGCCTAAAAGCATTGTGAATAACGAGTTAATAAGAGCGGATTAAATGTACCAAAAAAAAAAAAAAAAAGAGCGGATTAATTATGAACAACTAGCACAAAACTAAATTAAATAATAAAAAAAGGAAAAAGTGTTATTCAGGAAAAAAAGAGATGATGTTATTGCTTCTAATAATTTTGTAAAGGACACGAATTTTAATTGTAAATTTATTAATTAATAATTTTTTAAATTATAAGTTATGATATTTAAAAATATATATTTAAAAATTAATTTTAATATATTAAATAATAAATATTAATTATTTTATTAATTATTTATTATTTTTAGTAATAGAATTAAGATAAAAATATAAATATTTTATGACTATAACAAATTTGATGGTGACTTTGAGTGCGTTTGGGATTATTGTAAAGTATTGTAATTTATCTATGGTTGTGATTGTATTTATCTATGGTTGTAATTGGATTGTACTGTAATTGTAGTTAAAAGTTATTTTGGTATTTGGTTATTTATTTTCTAAAAGTATTATCGATGAAATATGATAGAATTTATTAATTATTAATTAAAATTTTAAAAATATTGTAAGATATATAATTATTAAAATGGATAATATTTATTATTTTTTAATAATTCAAGTTTTTAAAATTTTTAATTAATAAAGTATTATAAATTATGATATAATTAAATTATATAAAATTAAATTTTAATAGATAATTTTGTAATTATATTAAATATTATATTTTTTTTATAAAAATTACTGTTAAAAAATTCAAAAATAAGATTTTTGATTTTATATATAAAATTATTATAAATATGTGATAATTTTTGTAGTTTAAAAATTTTTTTTAAAAAAAATTATTAATTACATAAATATCTAAAAATACTATAGAGCACATAAAAGAATTCTCAGCCACAATCCCAAATCCCACCCTTAATCCCAGCTCTCACCCTTTAACTATGGTTGAAAAAGTATTGATAAAAAGGCAAAAATAAAAGGAAACTATAATTATCATCACCGTTTAATTTGTTAAGATTATCAATAACAATCAAATTTTTATTTCAATTTAATGATTAAAAATAATTAATAATTAATAAAATAATTAATAATTATTACTTAACATATTAAAATTAATTTATAAAATAAATATTTTTCAATATTATAAATAATTGTTTAAAAAAGATACTTTTATAAATTCATAAACTTATACTTAAGTCGGTGATCTTAATAAACCGATTGGATGCAATAACCTAACCCTACATATGAGATAAAAATCTTGGCGCTGCCGAGCTCATTGTCAAAGGACTCGGATCCAAAGATGCGAAACTAAGGAGCTCGGGATCGCGTTCCAGGATGGTCATGTCCGGCTCGTCCAAGGTGATCCATGCTTCCATTCCGTCACCGGACCTGGT